CAAAAAGGGTATATAACTCAATAAAGGAGAGGGAAAAAGCCAGAAAACATAATATGACCTCTTTAATGGATTGATCACCTCCAGCATGTCTGTAACTAGTTGGGGAAACTGCGTACAGGCAGATGTTGTTTCATCCAAATCAGCTTAGGCTACATTTTAAAGAGGTGCTCCAATTTTACACATGAAGTTCAGTCTGTCACAAGAAGTAATACACAGCCTATGAAAACTGTTGTATAGTATTGTCTGTGGCTCTCTAAAGTCTGAGAAAATAACCTTGATAATGTAATAGAAAGCCTGTGTTACAGTTTGAAATGCATGCATTTGCCAGGGTTTAAGAAATTATTTTATTGTGTTGCATTGTGGGAAATGTACATACTAGAGACTATAACTCATGATATCTCAGCCTCTGCAGCATTAGTTTTTTTTGACCTTGTGGAAGTGCCATGCTAAATCTAGTACCTTCGCATATGCTTTGGAAAAGCATGTTTCACATGCCTCATATTCAGGGGTTGTGTTGGCTGGCATAAGCTGACTTTTTGCTGGTATCACACGTAGTTGTCCAATAGATGAAAATATCAACAGCCCCCAAAATTAATGAATGAATTAACAGCAAATTAAATAGCCTAATATTGTGAGACTTATGACATACTGCCAAGACAACTGTGTGGTGCGAGACAAAAACACACACTCCAGCCATATTGGCTCTCAAAAGTCTAGTGTAAACTCTCCTCCACTTACCTTGTAAGTAATCTTCTTTCTTGGCACAGCTTCTGTTATATTTTATGCCAGCTTATCATGTTGTAAGTATAGAAATACATCTGCCCATGTTTGATTGTGATTAACACAGTGATTCCTGGACTTCATTGTCAGTCTCAGACCAAAGCAAAAATCTGTAACAATGCGCTATTCAACTCACAGCAGCTCCCTCTGGACTCCCTTAGTTCAAACAAATTATGCAAATATGGTTATCTACACTAACATTCATCTGTGCGGACTAGGCGTGGGGGAAAAAATCGATACAGTATAGTATCACCATATTTCCCGTGCCAATACTGTATCGATACACAGACGCCAAGTATCCATCTTTTATTATATGTACATGAGAATTTTACTTTTTTGGTACTATAATAATATAAATTGCTATTTCAGTCCACTAGAAAAGGAGTTTTCCTAGGGGACACAATTTAAAGTTGGAAAACAGTAATAATTTCTAATACATCGCAATATGTTTAAAATCGCAATAGTATCGTAACACAAGTATCACGGTAATATCGCATAGTGGGGCATCTGATGATTCCCTCCCCTAGTGCGGACGTAGATTCCACAGGTTTGGAAAACAAGCACACTTCACAAAGTAACTGTCCGATTTACTAGAATTTGCAGAGTTCCCTGACCAAAACAGTTTCAGAACAAGGAAGCACTGATATGACACAGCCATCCGTACACAATCGTGCTTTCAGACTCTATACTAGACTTATCAAAATGAGATCTCCAGTGTAGGTTTCTACAGCTAGGAGCACACGTTTGCGTTGACTTATTGAAGAAGATGTTGTTTTGCAGTGTTGCAGCGTCCTTTAATATCTGATTAACATTCTCACCCAGCCTTGTTCTGTCAACATGTGTCTGTTTGAAGCTGGATCAGACAAAGGGAGCGGGCTGGACATCAGACCTTTGATCTGACTGTCCTGTGTGTGCATGAGTGTGTGTGTGTGTGTGTCTGCTCTGGCTATTTCACATTAAAGAGACACACTTGAGAGAGAAAAAGGACAGGTAGAAACTGGCCTTTTCATCCTAACCTTGGATGAAGAGAGACAGAGTGTGTGTGTTCGTGTAGGCTGCTGTGTAAAGAGATCACTCAAACTGGAGCCTCAAGTCAAGGAAAAAAAGACCATACTTTTAGAAGGAGAAAGACAACAGACGGCTAACATTGTGATAGAGTCCCAGAGAAAAGGAATTGAGGAAATGGCCAACTAGGAAGAAAGGCTAATCTGTGAAATCACACTTAAAGATTATAGTATTTTGTGGGAAATTATGGATCTATGTGTTTCAGCCTACGAACAGTAGAAACTAGTAGAGTCAAATCAAGTTTATTTATACAGCCCAGCCTCTAGGGGCTTTATACATGTCTACAGGATCAGAAAGTATCTAACCTTATGGTACATTCACATACAACGCAAATTAAATTTTCCCGTTGCATTACTCATGTGGGTTTGACCGCTGGACTGCTTGCATGAGTGTTTCCATACAACACGAAAATCCAAGTTTAAACATGCAAACACAACCCGGTTTACTACAGGGATGAACACAAAAATCAGGGTTATGTTATGCTAACTTGTTTCATTGTAAAGTACAACAATAGCTGGCATCAAGTAACAGACGCATTTTAAACTTAACAGATAGTTCAACTTCCCCGCTTACTTCTCTCCAAGCAATATCCTGTTTTGTCCGGTTTCTGTATAAATATGAAATAGTATCATAGAGCAACTCGTGACTCACTGAAGATAAATTACTTACTAATCCCAAAAAATACAATTAAAAAGATAATTGAATAAAAGAAATTGACTCTGAGCTCCTCCCACTGGTAAACAGCTCAGGATCAGAGCAGAATCCGGTACAACTGGTTAAGAGAAACCCCCACCTCCCCCAAAAAACAGAAAAAAATTGAGGAAATCTCAAGAAAAGCAACAGAGGAAGGATTCTTCTCCCAAGACAGACATGCAATAGATGTCGTGTGCACAGAATAGACCAATACTCTAGAATTACTACAGTATAATTAATTCCATATAAAAACTGATAAAAAGTACCCATACAAACCATGTAAATTAATAATGAATGAAGGTGATAAAAGGTGCACATAATTGAGACAGAATACAAGTTGAAATTTGAGCAGCTCAATCGAAGCAGTTCAGTGCTTTGCTTAAAGTCACTTGGAGCGTAATGATCTGTGCTTTAATTTTTCCATCCTGACGAGAGATTCAAACAAACATCCTTGTGGCACATGCTTTCTTCAGTGAACATTTCAAAACAGAAAGGGAATGGGAAGTGTATTTTTGTGTCTCAAAGTCATAACCAAGGGCCAAATATATAAGACTGCTCAGAGAGAGCTAGAGCGGAGGTCATTTTCACCCAGACATATCCAATTGGCACTCTAAGTCAGTCGGAATCCATTCCCTTAACATCAGCTTTGAAATACATCATACTGCAGCGTGTACACGCATACTGACTCCATTTCCACTAGAAACATTGTCGGGGTGTGTGTGTGTGTCTGAATCAGTGTGTGTGGGGGACACCATTTGTACTGGTTTTGTTGTCAGCAAGGGAAATAAGCATTTTCATCATGTTGTTGTCCCATTCCGTTTTAAAATGATATCAGGACGTCATTAAGAGCCTACCCCTTCTATTCTGTTCTATTGCATTCAATCCCCAGACATCAGAGAGATTGATGGTACAAACATTCCCTTTCGTCTCTTCCGAATTCAAATTACACTTCAGGTAAAGCAAAGGCAATGGGGTCAGCTTGTAATCTGCTAAAGGATAATCACTCTCATGCATAATAGAATGGTCTTGTGGTGTAATAATAATGCAGACATGGAGATAGCAAGTTGCCTGGGCAATCACTTATTTGCTGCAGACATTTCCATTTGATGTTTCAGGTGTTTAACTTATGCTTTTATCCATAGCTACTTACATTAAGGACACAGGCCAACAACAAATGGAAAAAAGGGCCTTTTGTAGGCAAACACTGCCCACCTGACCTCATCTGTAACTTCTTTAGTCTTCTATTTTTGCATTTCCTGCAGCTAATGCAGTTCAATACAGGAAAAACAATAGTGGCAAATTAGCCTGTCAGTCAACTGTGGGCGGGTCACTTGTGCATTTCTAAGTGACAGCTCAAAATGAGCGGTGGCTTTGGAGGAGTAATACTTCCTCAGCAGTACGAAAAATTGAAGAGACCTAAAAATATATGCTTCCATTGGATCTGAAAGACGTCCCATTATTTTCAAAGTCAATTCAAATGTAAGGTTTTTTTCCCCCTACTGCACATTACTGAAAGTCTTTCCGAGTAGCTAGTATCAAATATAGGGTGGAATAAAGCACCTCCACCCTACATTTGATTAACTTCTGGCCCCACGGGGGCTTACTGCACAGCGGTAAGAAGAAACAAGCTACAATGTGCTATGTAAAATATGCTAAGCTCACAGGTTAGCTTATCTGTTTGCTCTGATGACTGGGAAGCCCATACTTGTGGTTAAAACGTGTAGTGAACAGCAGTGCTTCATTTAACTGGAGGTCAGACATGCAGAGGAAGAGCTGCTTGAACTTTTATTTTGTTATCATTTTTAACGTGCGCTTGTCTATGTGTAAATGTTTTTTTTTTTTGTGCTTTTCCTACATGTTAGCAGTTTTTATAGCAGTTTCTAATGTTTTACTTTATGATCAGCAACTGCGCTGGCCCGCCGGTCAGCTGCAGCGAACGCTGAATGGGCCAAACCAATACTTCAAATATGGAGGGGGGATAAGAGCGGCCCCTCCCAACTTAGACTGATCCTCGATTTTGCTGAAATCTGATTGGCTCACCAGAGCCGATCAAAGGAGTTTACTTTCCATCTGGGGCGAGTTCAATCTCCACAACATTTTGTCAGAGGTGAACTCAGTGCTGGGTTGTATGATAAGCCAAGAGAGACGGTAAATGTGGTGCTGAAAAAATAACAATTAAGAAGAATTTTTTGTCACAAGCAGCTAAATGCACAAGCAGCTAAAAACGACTTGCAGAAAAGTTGTTGTAGCAGGTGAGGCAGGACTCAGGTGCACAATTAGGAGGCTAATGCATTTATTATATACTGAAATTATTTATATATAATGTATAGGCCTATACATTAGGCTATCTATTTATGTAATCTATATTATAAACAACAGTTTGCAATGTGTTATCACACAAAAACAACATCCTTCTATAAGCAAAGAATCTCTGTATGTTTGTGTGCATATTGGCTGTTAAGGTCAGTGGAGGTGATGCAGAGAAACAGGGTGATGATGATCCCAGTCATGATGATGAGGAGGGAGAGAAGGAACAGGAGGAGCAGCAGGAGGAGGATGAGGAGGTCAATGGAACCAGAAACAACAGTGAAAGGTACAGGAGCAGTTTTCAGTGCTGGGTAGGTAATCATGTTTTTCATAGAGTTAGAAAATGGATTATTGTTATTCATATTTATTACTGATGTTTTAATAAAAGAAGAGTGGGGACCAGCACGGGGGAAGCTAAGCCATTATATTTAAGTATTTTAGCACTCTGACTGACTCAGGCTTGCCTGACCTGGTTTTGTTAAGTGCAGTGGATCCTTGTTTATACAAACTGACGAGGCAGGTGTCACCCTGAAGTTTCTTGATGATCTTCAGCTTAATCTGATGACTGTATACAACACAAATATGTATTGAAATAAATACAAATAATATTTCTGCGCTCGCATAAAAGGCCTTTCGGTCTCAAAGTCCCGGGCTGAATTTCAGTCCCAGTACTCCCCTGCATCAAGGTGCGTGCGTCTCCTTCAGTGACGTGAACCAGTCTTTCTGTCTATCAGTAGAGGCAGACACATTGACCTGTGTGTGTAAATATCAACGTATTTGAGCATCTGTGTGTGTGTGTGTGTGTGTGTGTGTGTGTGTGCGCGCGCATGCAGCCTCACCAGCTCACTTTCCCTCAGAGCCATTTCAGTCTGATAATTGCAACCCTCAGACTCAGACTGATTTCCACTTGTCTGCACAGAATTTCAATATAGCTGCTCTTTAACGCCAAGGTCCTCCATATGACTAAGTGAGAGAGAGGGAGAGAAGGGCAAAAAGAGAGGCGAGCTAAAACTTTAGAGAGCATCATCTTGATTGTGTGTCTGTCCTCTTTCAGTCTCCATCTGTCTTTTCAGAATATAGGGCAAGTTAAAGTGGCGAGGGAGTCAAAGCTTGTTGATTTGAAGGAGAAGGTTAGTTCAATCATTTCCAAAAGCTTAGTTCTTACCTGACACATCTCACAAGCGTGACGAGTGCATGTTCATGTTTACTGAACAAACGCACAGTTCAGTTGCATTATGTAAATTATAAGTTAATGACCAAAGTCAAATCAATATTTTTTTGCTTTACTCTTGAGCTCTGTAGATATTTGATGCTTGCTGTGGTAGCCATGATACTTGTTTTTAATAAACATCCTGAAGAGAAATGAGAAAAACATTTATTCACACTCTTAATTTAAATTATGTAAATGGACCACACATAAAACAGATATATTTGGAAATAAATACAATTTAAAAGGTTTTCCCTAACTTTGGAAAATTAATGTTACTAACCTGTATTCTGTCAATTAGCCTTCTACATATATCCCTGCCAATCATTAGCTTATTATTAGAATAAAACTGACCTCTTGGAATAGTAGAGACCGTAATCACAGCACAGAGGGAATAAAGCACTATGTTTCTCAAGGACAGAGGCCCAGAGCACAAACAACCATCAAAAACAGCTGCCGATTCAGACTGGACAAACTTGCGCTGGGGTCCTTTTTGTTGAATATTTACCAAGTTCAAAGACAGCAAATTTCCTGTTAAAGAATTGTCTCTGAACTGGTTTTCTTTCTTGTTTTCCTCAGCTGTTTTCTTTTCATGCGGGTGTGAGAGGGAATCAAAGCTGAGTGCTCCGCTCCCAACACAGTGATCAGTGTTTTCATGGAGACCCTCTTTGATGCTGTAATGAGCCCAGTGTGGTAGGTTATTATTATCCAGAGAGACAGTGAGCAGAGAAAAGCTAGATGGAGAGACACAGAGGGAGAGAGGGGGAGGAAGTGAAAGCAAGTCAGTGGGTGGCATGTTTGGAACAGTTTATCTGAACTCTGGAGCAGTTAGTTTGACTCATTTGAGCAGCTGAGTCGAATGCATTTTTAACGTGTAATCATCACACAGAAATCAAGTTGCAACACACAAAAAAGAGATTATATACAAATTGCTTCCAAAATGGCCACTGTTGTTATATAGTGATTTATCAGTGTGTTCTTATCTGATAAAAGGATAGGAGCTATTTGTATGTGCATGTTTATTTTGTCCACAAGTCTTGATTTTGTTTGTATTGGTCAGTGCAAACAACAATGTAAACTTTACTATGGTTTAAAGGAAAACACACCGCAAGGGTGAGAATATTTTGGCATCATTGGTGTGTGATGATCCCAATCAGCATTAAAAAGAGAAATAGACGGCAGAAAAGAAAGAGAGTTGACCGTTAGGAGAGATTGAGAAATATATAAAATAGTGATTTAGAGAGAAACCGAGGGAGTGCAACAACTGTGTCTCCAAATCAGTCCCCAGCAGCTCTGTGATAAATAGCTCTGCACGTGCAAAGAACTGAGCAGCTTTCCTCAGTGTTCATGCAACAGTGGAGGGCTACCACTGAAGGACCACCAACAATGCTAAAATTACTCTTAAAAATACATGCAAGGCCAATGGAATATCTATTTTGAGATCTCTATGAAACAAATAAAAGGCAAAAAGTTGGCCTTGGTTGAAATCAGGATTGCTATGTGACATTTTCGACCTGTAGAGAAACTAATGATTCAGTGAACATATAGTATTTAGGAAAAAAGCATCCCATTTTGACAACTTAAATGGTGGTGGTTGTGTCATAATCAGGGGTTTTTGGTTTTTGTTGATGTCCCCCGCCAAAATACTGAATTGTGGAATATTACTGATCAAAAAAATGAAAGAAGGGACAGCGTAACGTCCTTGTAATAGACTGACAAATCAATGCCATTACAAGCAAAAAGGGATGCAGATTCATACACAAGACTGTTGTAAGTCAAGAGCTACTCAGTGTGAAAGTAGTCAAAGTAAGTATTTTGCCCTTTTTCTCGCGCTGCAAGGTTGCGGTAATTAGGGGTGTTTTTCACCAAAAAGCAGTCTGTGTTATTATTCCAATTGGAGTGCTGAAAAATCACCCAGTGGCACTTTAGAACGTTATGCAGAGTAGGAAAAGGACAGGGAGCGCTAGAGGGGCTTATCTGAATGAAAAGCTCTTATCATGTTGTTTCCGACTCTCTAAACCATTGCCGTATCCCCAAGGTCAACAGCTAAATAAATGTCTTTATGGGGGATGTTTGCCAGTTTTATGCAGAAATTTTGTCCAATTATGAACTTTTTAACTCTGTCAAGTGATGTACGAACCTTATCCCCACCTGCGACACACACGCACTGTGTTTCTGATGCCTTGGCAAATGTATTTCTCTTTCATGTTTTTAGTGCGTTTCTCATTTTATACACAAAGAACACAGTGCTAGCTGTTAGTAACTGCCTCAAAACAAAAAGGTCAGCAGTTACATTATTTATTGTTCTCTCAACACAGCTTTACATTGCAGTCAATGGGGATTTGTTTAACCCCATTATCTAAACCACTTGTTTAGAAGGGAAGTTAAATGAAATTCACCCCACGTGTTCATTGTATTCATTTCGTATGGTAGGTCAGTGTTGAACCATAATGGACAGTTTGGGTAATGATTTATTTAGTTGGTAGTAGGGCTGGCCCGAATGCCATTTTTTGGGCTTCGAAGCTTCGATAGTAATTAAGAGCAAATACTTGAAGCAGCGGCACTGTTCAGCGGTCCCGTTATGCCGATTTTTCCAAATGTGTGTTGATCGGCTGTCATTTTATGAGCTACAGCTATGTATTTCATAGATAGAAGCAGAACAGCAGAAGAAGGATAAATGGCCAAGAAGTGGCCAAGAAGTAGAGAGAGAGAGAGAGAGAGAGAGAGAGAGAGAGAAAGAGAGAGAGAGAGAGAGAGAGAGCGCCGTTCAGGCCCTATTGTCAGAGCATAGGTTAACTGAAAAGTGACTATTATCAATACAATTTTAACTTTGTTATGGCTAGGCTAGTAGACCCAAGTGCTGGGCTGAGACAGGGGGGGAGTAACATCAGAACAACAACAGAAATATTTATTGCGGGGTTAAATCGAATTTGTGTCCAGCGCTGGTTGGCAGTGATGAATTAAAATTTAAATGAATGGGTTAAGTTGTATTTATATCTGATTGCTTTTTACCTAATAAGAATGCTAATCGGAAATATGAAATAAAGATGACAGCTATGTCTTCAAAGCATTTAAATTTGCCTTTTTTGCAATTTAGGTTTAAATCAGGTATGGCAGACCAGAACACTGAGGAGTTGGCTCACTCCGGCAACTGATGGCAGTGAGGCATTCTTGTGAACGTTGTATGAACACACCACAAATCCCCGTCTTTCACTTCCTCTTTCTCTCCAGGATTTGTTTTCCCTCCATCGTCGTCCTCAATCTGTCCCTTACTCCTCTCTCATGCTACAGATGTCTTCACCAAACAAGTGTACGCACACGCACACCAGCACACAAGCACACAAACAAAACTAGTTGCACATACAAAAAAGCCACACAGCTTTCTAAGCTTAGCTGAATCCTGCCTCCATTCCCCTCGACATGAACACACATACCTATGCAGTCAGCAGTGCCTCTATATAAACACACACACACACACACACACAATGTACACAACCTCTCCTCCTCCCGGTAATCCCTCCTTTTAGCGTCTCCTCTCTCCTATTATGTAGGGATTTTCCATCTGATGGGAATTCCAGCAGCAACCACACTGAGAGGCCATCTAATTAGCCATAGATGGATGACTTCCAATATAAGTAATTGAGAAAAAATATCTGCCTGTGGACAAATAATTTTAACCCTGATAAGAAAGGGGACATTTAGTAGCACTAATCACAATCACAGGCAACCACTCCCTATAAGAGATAAGACGCATCTGCTTTGAGGCTGCGTTTGCATTTAGGGGAAAAAAGTTTTCTCTCTTTGTGGCTCTAACCTGATCTTTTCATAGCTGTCCAAACAGGTTAGGAGGGCCAGGGAAGATTTGTTCCAGTGTTATTTATTTATTTATTATTTCTCCAGTTGGCACCACAATTGATCAGGACCAACTTCAAAATTCAAATATATCAAACAAATGATTTTTGGGACAGTGTAACACAGCTGGTCATCTCTTAGTAAACAATGTTTGGTAAAAACTGATTGTGTTTGTGAGCTAAACACTACATGACATTTAAAAGCCACAGCCACACACATGTTGATCCAGTACATATACACAAGAGTGGTGGTTTGAAG